CTAAGTGTGTTAACTTACCCATCTCTTTCCCTTTGCTTCTCACTGTATGTTTCAAATTGATTTCATAAACCATGGAGTTTATGACCATCCTAATCGGGTCTGTGAGTCTTTCTGTCCCATGACTCTGGGATGGATAGCTTGCTGGTAATGTATCAGAGGCTACAAGGTAATTTCCCACATAACGTCCCTAAAGGGCAATGTCATCAAGAACAGCAGCAAGTCTTGAGAAAATCCCAGGCTCTTGCTTTACCTCTTCTTGTTTCCACTCACCTTGCATCAGCCAGAGTTGCTCGTGCCACAGCCCAGGCTGTAACAAATGCTGCTGGGAACCCTGCAATCAGAAAAGGATTCAGACAATCAGAAAAGGATTCAGAGACCATATTTCTTTTGAGATTAAGGGATTTTTTCTTATATTCATCACATAAAAATATACTATTAAAAGGTGAGAGAGAAACACAGGCATGAAAAATGTTGCTATGTGAATATGAAAAGTCCACTTAATTTTCATCTTGTCCGTTTGAGAAGGTAGTGGTACACTGACGTTATTCGTTCTCAAAAGTCTGAAGATGAAGACTGGCTCTATTTTCCTTTGAAGGGTGTAAGGTTAAGCCATGTATGGAGGGGACTGAAGTTCCCGGGGTCAAAGGCAGGCGGTGGTCGGTGCATCCAACTTTGCCTCTTGAAATGCCGAAAGCCACATGCTTTCCAAGAGGAGTGAAGCAACAAGAGGGACTCATGAGAAGCGGCAGGAAGGCTGTTGTTCTAAAATACTCAAATTTTCTCATTCTAAAAGTTGAAGGCATAGAGAGGCTATACTGCAAGTTACAAAATTAGGAAGTTTTGATCAGTTTAGCCCTTCTTTTTTTGTTCGTATCGGCTCCAGACAGAAGCATTTGCAGGCACTGAAAGCTTAGCAAAGGGTGGTGCTATATTAGTTTGATGATTTGAGCATGACATATTTGTCCTTCATAAACAATAAACACCTATGAGCTTGCAACATCAACTCTATTATACTGACTTTCCATGAGTCCTTTGCCCCCAGTAAAGGTTGACTGCTCAGTTCACGCTATACCTGGACTCTGACATCACAAAAAATCACAAACCATAACTTTTATGCAGCACTGCAATAGAAGATCAAAGGATTTAATGGATAACTCTTCATTATGTGGCCTTTTAGAAAGAAGTTTTAAAAAAAGGAAGAGAAACCATAGGAAGCACTTTACAAAGAGAGAAAAATATTGAACTCAGAACATTTTTTTAACACAATATTCTTTACCTTTTAAAAAACACATTTTTAAATTTTCAGATATATTTTCTAAGCAAAAATGTAAACATAAAAATAGATTCAGATGAAAAAAAAATTAAAATAAGGTGATATCCCACAAAAGGAAATTTCTTTGTTCTCCTTAGTGATCTAATTGAATTTAACCTCAGCCTGCCTGTGTGGCTATTTAATTTTATGACTCTATATTCCAATTTTATTTATTGTTTTTATATAACTCCTTTTTAAAAAATTCTGCTCGAATTCTATGTTCTAGGAAATTTTTGTCAAAAGAGATCTACCCAATTCTGTTTAATTCTTAGGTTCAGCTTGCTATTCTATCTATCTATCTAGTCCACCTATCCATCCATCTGTATAAACATATATCCACTAAGCACTTATTAAATGCCTTTTCATTTGTTAAGAACTGTTATAGTCTCAGAAGATTAAAAAAAAGAACAGAATAAACAATATCTCCATTTTCCTGAAACTTATATCCTGGTATGGGAGGCAAAATTAATAACACAACTTCAGTTATCAATTAGCGCTATGAAGAAAAAACAAGAATGATAACTATGTAATGGAGAGAGCATGGCTCCTTCTGACAGAATGGTTCAAAAAGGTCTGACATGGATCCCTTTGCTGTTCTACTGCCTTGGTTATCTTTAAAAAATGTCTGCCTTTGATCAAAATGTTCACATTTTCTCATTTGCAGGTCTTCATCTTCTGCTTCCTTTACAATCTCCTGATCAGGCAATTTCCTGAATGATGTTCTATATATAGAACATTGATTAATGGTGCTGGATTTGGAATTGTGTCTTAAATGATAATTATAGCAAATACTTTATATCAGACACCATGTCTTAACGAAATTGCTTTTCTCATCCTCTTGGAAGACCCTCATTCACAAGATGAGCACAGAGACAACCATAGAGGAATAAAGAATAGAAACCACCTTGAGGCTTTCTAAGAATTTTTGGTCACCAATCTTAGTATCACATTATTATGTAATTAAGAACATATAAACAAAGGGAAAAATCTTTGAAATCTAGACGTTATTTTCAATTTAAGTGTTACTTTAAGTAAATTTAATGTAAATTGGAATGTTATTCTATATTTGCATTTATCTTAAGAGCTGAGTTATTTTCATAAAATACATCAGTATAAATAAGTGATTCTGAGAGGGAGGCAATCTCTGGTCTCAAAATAAGTAGACTCGAGCTTTGGTGTGGCTTCATTACTATTCTCCCTTAAAATGAAGGTTTGGACTAATAGTAGTCAAAAAAACTTTAGCAATTAAACACTTTCTTCAAATAAAAACTTATTCTGCAGCCCACTGCATAAGCCAGAGATGCCTTGAAGCCAAAGTGGGGTAAAAGGGTCTTGCCATATTGGCCCATGTAATTTTATCTTGTTTTGGACACTTCAGAGTCTTCATAGAACCCAACCTCAGCCTTACCATCCTCCTGAAATGCTACTGTGGCATTGCAAAGTCATAGCTTGATCATAAAGTGTAGAGTTAACCCTAAAAATTAGAAACACATCATGACATGGGGATTCCCAGATTTGCTACAGACATACAATGTCTTACCAGAAACCTTGATTCCCCTGGGAATCCAGTCTATGTTGACTGGTCAGACATGAAGCTCCAAGCTATGTATTCAGTTCCCTCTCTACTCACTGCAGGATGCTAGAATTTAGTATCTATCACTTGCTGATTCATTCTTTGAGGAACCTAGAAATTCGTCTATATAATTTTGATAGAATTGTTCTCAAGTCTCATAGGACTCTAAGGCCAATACTGAATGAGTCTTTCCTCTCTGTAAGGAAAACTGCAGAGCCTTTAAAGTTTTCCATTGTTACAAAGGTGAGTGTCTATTTATGAAACTTCAGAAGAGTTACCCTCCCCTAAGATGGAATTACTACAGTAAACAAAAGAAATCTTTAAAAAATATATCTAATTCATAGTCTAAAATCTGCTCTAGAAGAAGAGTAAGGCATTATGAAAAAGGACCAATCCAAAACAGAAGAGCTACAATAGAAAAGAAAATGTTTACTGAATTAAATATTGCCAGTGGGCAGAAACTGTAGAAGATCAATTGGTGGAGAGGAGGTGGAATCTTGAAACCGGGTGAACCCACAGAGATAAATCTACATAATGGTTACAAATATAAATTTGACTATAATTTATTTTCTTTTAAACAGATAATAACCTGTAGAATTTTTTAATGATAAGTAGTAAAACCCAAAATTACATCTTGAAGGTCTGGAAAAAGTAATAAGCAGGGAGAACCAAATTCCTTATCTTTCATAAAGTAGGGCCAAAATATAGATCTCTTATTGACTCTAATGGTTAAATATAATTTTAACTTTAAGATAACTTTAAGGTAGAATTAATAGTGACATTAAAAATCATAGGGCAAGGGAGAAACAGTTTTTCTAGATTTTTAAATTCAGCTTAAAGCAAACAACAAAGATTTTTAATTGTATAAAGGTGTCATATTGACTATCATAAATAATTTTATGAAGAACAGATTTTATAAATATTTTGAATATAATACATATGATGAGAATAGGCCTACAAAAAATAAAATAACCTAAAGGGTCAGACTCCATGCTTCTTGTGTGCTGGGACTTTAACATATACCTTGTATTTCAATTATATATGCTGCCAAATGGATGATCAAAAAACGTTTGCTGGATTGAAATAATTTTATACAGAGATAATAAAACCGGAAGTGTTTTCTGATTATTTTTCTCCTGATTATTTTAAGATAATACAAAATATGAAAATATTCTACAAGAAAGCTTGGCAACAGGGACGTGACTACGTGGTATAACCAGGATAGGTGTTTTTATATGATAATACATACATTCTGGCATCTCATCTGACAGGTGAAAATTAAGAATGGCTGCTAATACAGAGGTAAATTACCACATTCAATAAGGATAAAGAAGCAAGAATGACACTTTTTTTCCTATTATGTTGTATATTATATCCCCAGTACTTATTTACCTTATAACTGGAAGTTTGTTACCTTTTGACTGACCTTTTAAATATAGAATTAAATATATTTTTTAAATATGTAGTTGGAACCGAGAATAAAGTGTCTTATTCATGAGAAAATTGAGCAGGGATAGGAAAAATTAAGAAAATGGTTAGTTGAAAGAAAAGAAGCATAGTCATCATTAGAATTTGCCTTTACTCCTCTATACATCTTGTTTTGTGATAAAGATATACAAAAAGGTCATTTTAAATATCTGCCTTCAATTTACTAAGGCAGACATGGCATATGTTCCTCTTTAGATGGTAATTTCCTTCCCTGCCAACTTATTATTAAGAACCAGCAAAATCAATGTAAATAATGCAACTCCACATATCATTACAAAGTGAGTAATAAAGTGCTGAGTATTTACCTAGCTGAAGAGAGCTTTACGTTATAATAATTGGGTCCAAATGAACAACAAAGGAATCCAAGCAAATTCACTTCTCTAGTGAAGCCAATAAATCACTGGAAGAAAGTCTGAAACTGGGTTCACTATGGATTAGTCTAGCAAAGGATCCTGCAAAGCAGCTATAATGTTTTGATATTTATTTTTCTTATAGAAAGTTGGAAAAATGAGTCTGAAATAAAAATGATATTCTAAAATCATACTCTCAGTGTTGAGATAAGAGAAAACAGTCTATTAATCAAATAGACTTGGATATTTACTTCAGTAGCAGAGAGAAATTCTTTTTTTTTTTTTTTTCTGTTTGTTTGTTTTAATCATGGTCCCAAAGGCAGAGGCAGTATTTTATCTACTTAAGTCACACAGCTTGTGAGAGGAAAGGATGTCTGTGTCAGGCATGTTAACATCAACCAAAATCTGAGATCGAGTGTTTCCACTGACATTCTTAGCACAGCACCCAAAGAAGTATAATCTAGCCACAGTGTGACTATTATGAGGCACGGCTTATTGCAGCTGGAAATCAATTCTTCCCACACTGAGGTGGGGGTTCTAGTGTCCCTTTTACTCTGTGGGTACTCCCCAAATGGCGTCTGTCCATCCTGGGCCACACTACCTCAGCTTGCATCCTACCAGTCTTGGGGAAGGAAAAGGGGTACAGACTAGTGTTACAGGAATCTAAAGGTACCCAATACACACAGCCTAATATTTGAGAACTGAGGGCTATCTAAATACCTGGAAGCACTTTCTTGGAATGCTAAGACAGAGCAGCAAGATTTTCTAGCCTCGGGGTCTGGGAGAGGGAAGGTTGATTGGTTGGTTGGTTGGTTGGTTATTATTTACTGGGAATTAATACTGAGAGTATATGCAAAGGCTGAGGGCACCATGCCATCTTCACAGAACAAGACCCTAACGGCTAACTGACATACAAGAAACTGCAAGTTATACTGTAAGAACACATGTTAAGGACCGAGGAAAGTCTGCTAAGGTGCTACGTCTAAACTAAGTTAACTTCTCGTGTCCAATCCTCCCTCATCAGTCGTCATCCAGGGCCTCTGTCTTGATTTCGTTGGCTCCTTGTCGGGCCAATGCCAAGATAGTGTGGTTGACTGCTGCCATTTCCACAGCTAATGAGATGGGGTCTTGGTGGTCACTATGGCTAGTGCTGTCGTCTTGTTCGGATCAGATCCTCCTCTCTTCTTCTACCTTCTCTGCTTCTCTGCCTCCCTCTGAACTTCTTCCCTCCTCCTCCTCCCCATTGCGTACTTGCCAAGTATCCTGCTCTGAGTAGTCATTTCCGTCGACGTCATCACTGTTGGAATGGCCTCCGGGACTCTGTACATCTATCCCATGACTCTCCAGGATTGCTGCGATATTGGCTCTCCTCTTGATCTCCTTCCGTCTGTTAGCAAACCAATTATACACTTTCAGGGAGGTAACTCGTTCCAGATCTGATAGTTTTTTGCCTGGCTTCTGTATAACTGCGTTGCAAGCATTTGCAATTTCTTCTCTTTTTGCTTCATCTGGGTATTGATTCTCATTGAAGTAACTTTCCATGACAGCCAGGCACTCCTTTCTCCAGGTAAATCGACTCCCTCGTCGCAGTCGGAAGGTGCCAGATGTAGCTGAGACTGGGGGAGGCGTTTGTCTCCATTCCGGGTCCTCTATTGGAATGGGCGCGGGTCTCATACTTAGTGTAGCTCCAGGGTTTGTCTTTTCAAGCTGATACCATCGGTAAAACGCTCTTTTCTTCTGTTCACTCAGGTCTGATCCCTGCTGCAACAGCCAGTGAGAGATCCGGCTCTGACTGATACCTGTTACCTGTGCAACAACTGCTTGGGAAATCCTCCGATTGGCAAGAAAGGCTTTGATTTCCTCTTTTATCACACTGCTGTCCCTCCTCATTAATTCCTCTACTTTATCATCTACATCTAGGTCCTCTTCTGAGGCTTCAAAACTGTATGACCTCTGACCCATGCTGTTTGCATGGTAGCGAGTTGGTGACATCTTTCCATTGGATGTGGATAATCGCTCGTTATTCTCCCTCCCATTCTGATTGGTAGTACAAGGCTGTGGGGAGGTATCATAACTGTTGCTAGGTGATGGGGACATTCCAGAATGCTGGGTCTGTGTGGAAGCTGTAGCTGTAGAGGAAGATGCTGGAACATTGTTGGTAGTATTCCCATATGAACTTCCTCCGTAGCTGGACCTTCTTCCAAACTTGTCGCTATGCTCTTGATCAAGACGGTCCAAAGTTTCCAAGGCATGGAGAATTTCATGTTTAGTCATTCCAGTACGTCGAAGGCGCTGAAGCAGATCTATCTGCTCTATGGTAAATCTGGGTTCATCTGTATAGTGAGACATGGTTTCCAGCAAAACCACTGGAAAGGAACTGAGCATACTTTACATGAGGTGAATCAATATCTTTTCTAGAGATGATCAGCGTTATTTATCATTCTCAGAATCCTTGCTGAGTTCTCTCCGCCCGGCACAGCCCCCTCCCCAACGTCCCGGTACGAAGGGCTGAGGTAGGGAGGAGGGGAAAGCGGGAGGGGGAGGGGTGTCTTCCGCGTGGGGCGCCCGTCGGGAGGGGACTGGGGAGGGGTTGAGGCCGGCGCAGGAAGAGGAGAAGGGGGAGGGGAGGCCCCTATCTCCCAGTCTCCCCCTGAAAACCTCCCTTGTCTCAATCACATCAGACTGACTGTCTTTGTCTGCAGAGAGAAATTCTTAAAAGAATATTACTATTTTGGGGGGCTGCCCTGGTGTCCGCCTGCCGATGCGGGGGATGAGGGTTCGTGCCCCGGTCCGGGAGGATCCCACATGCCGCGGAGCGGCTGGGCCCATGAGCCATGGCCGCTGAGCCTGCGCGTCCGAAGCCTGTGCTCCGCAACGGGAGAGGCCACAGCAGCGAGAGGCCCGCGTACGGCAAAAAAAAAAAAAAAAAAAAAAAAAAAAGAATATTACTATTTTTTAATTATATATGCCCTAGCCTAGAGCATTTATTTTTTTGGAGTTGCAAAGAGAGAAGCCAGAAGACAGACCAACTATAGCACCATAACTCTGTAAATATTACTTGTTACTGTTTTAATTGTGGTTAATTACATAATATTGCATGTAAGATGCTTTTTGTAACGTGATCTTCCATGTAGATACTACTTGCTTTCATGCATGTTCTTAAACCATTTGGTGAAATGAAGATTTCAAGTTGTGATGCTTCTCTACTGTAATTGTCACTCTTATGACAAAATTTTGTGGACAAATAATTAAAGTTGTAAAGGAAGGTGAGAACCTCATACTTGCATAGAAGCTCACTGGAACCCTCACTGTTTTTTTAATTCGCATTTTCAAAGACAGATTTGAAAACTAGTTTCCTGGGTTTCAGAGAGGCAAACTTCTGATTTTACAGAGCGACAGACGGATACAGCCCAAATAAGAGCTGACAGGGGAATTTGCTATCAAATCAATATGTAAATAAAGAAAAACAAGTTTATTACCAGTGTGACCAATGTCATAGAAAACCAAAAAATAAAATGGAACTCAGACAAATTCATTGTTGAATTTTCTATCAACATCTTTACTAACTTCTAGTAATTATGTGGGTACACAGATATAATTTTGCCTTGAAGCCAAACTACCAAAAACTGTTGAGAAAATTTCCAAAGTACCCTAAACAAATAAAGTGTATCTTTTTTTATTTTAGTAACTGTTAGTCAAAGATAAGGGAGAGCCTAAAAACAAACCACTTTCATAAATTTTTATTCACAACAATTATTATTTCATAATAAATAACGCTTGACAGTAAATTGACCCTTTGTCTTCTTAAAGGTTATTAACTAACAGGAAATTCAATATCCTTTACTTCATGTTTTCAAATTAAGACAAAACAGGCCAAAAAATTCTTATTTTGATGGGAAAAAAACCTTCAAATTTAATCTTGAGCCACTTAGTTGATTTTTTTCCCTGTGCTGAGCACGTCATAATTTGGATATTAAAATAGCAATTGTTAATATTGAGACTTCTTAATTTTAACCACGTATGAGTTTTAATTTTTCTTAAATTATAACAAACAAACAACATCCTTTCTCCACATCACATTAAGTTAGTGCCTAATTCAGTAATCCCTCTAGTACTGACAAGGCATTTTTGGAATGTGAGCTGAATATCCTTTTTTTAAAATTATTTATGCCGCAAGTAATTTGAATTATTTCCTTCCAAAAGACATCCACGTAATTAGTTTGTAATTTGCATTGTTAAATGCAGTCAAGATGGTCCTATAAATTCCTTTCTGGCATTCTCATCATATGACCTAGAATTACAAATCAAAGGTGCATCATTATAGCTTAGAAATTCAAAAATCAAAATTTTTAGGATGAAATTATTGTTAAATCAAGATATTGACATAAGATACGATGAGCACAGCAGTTCTAAATGTGCATGGCTAACAAGGTATTTCCCCCAAAGAATCCTCTCAAGAATCTGGCCTAAGAACACTAACCCTAAGTTAAAAGTGAAAAGTTTGTTACCACTAGGAGGATTATAGACTTGATCTTAATACATTTCCTGAATAATTAAAGAGAAAGAAAGGATAAAGATAGAATAGGGAGGGATTATTTTGGGAAAATGACAGAAAGAATGCTAATGACAGGCAAGACAGAAAGCCCTACAACCCATAATCCAGTTGAAAAGGAAAGGAGACAGAAATGCCTTACCCCAGCCTATCAAGGTGAAGCCCCACAGGTACTTGGTGTCCGAAAAGAACGCCACAAAGATTAAACTATGCAGATAGAGGCCTTCCACCAAGATCCAATAGTAGTTTGTAGCCAAGAAGTAAATAAACATCACAACAGCAATCTTGCACCCAATCTGTTACAAATAAACCAACATTGCACCATATTAGAATTCCTAATCGTACTGGTTCCAACATTAGACCACTAAAAAGCAGTTCCTCCATTTATTTTTTTATAATCTAATATCTCTTATACCTGGGAAGGCCAAGACTTTTGAAAGAGACCAGAACAAAGTTATTTTAACATAGCATTTCTAAGACTGCTGGCTTGATTCTATTTTTAAAATAAGATTTTTATTCCTTTAGGAGTTATAAGAAATCACTTTTCCTTAAGTTTTCTTGTTTATAAAAATACCTGATCATCAGAGAAAATTAGGAAAGTAAAGAAAAGCATAAAGAGGAAAACTTAACCATCATTCTACCATGAATTTATTTTATTCTGGTCTTTTTTATGCCCCAAAAGTTAATGGCTTAAAATGATAAACATTTAATATGTCTTATGAATTGATTGATTGGCTAGATGATTCTGCTGATTTGGGCAAAGCTCAGCTAATCTTGGCTAGGCTCACTCATAGAGGTCTACCCGCAACTGACACACCATCACACCTACTTCATTCTAGTTCATTTAAAAAGTCACAAAGCCAATCCAGAATTAGAATCAGCAGAGACAACAACGATCTACAGGGCAAAGGGCAAAGATACCAACAGCATTAATTCACACCATCAATACAATCAATCTATTCTACCTAATTTCCAGATATATTGCTTCAATGGTGATAATGCTTCTCATTAACTGAATTATTGGGTGATTCTACTTACTAAATAACAACAGGACATTTAAGAGCAGAATCAAGTACCATGGAATCTTATTTGGGAACAAGTCTTTGAGGCTACAATAAAGGAACTAAATGCCCTGGGTTTTTAAATCCCAAGCTCCTGGTCTTGCAGGTGGGCTTTTTACTTTTGAAAGTGGTGAGCCATGCAAGGGCTCATGGTGAAAACACTTACATATTGTGATTTGTCCACAGAAGGTACTTCTATGGAACTCTGTAGGTCATCTTGCATTATCAGGGACTGCAGCTCCTTTACTCCTATGTGAGCATGGACCACTCTGTCCTTGACAAAGATGCTCGCAGCTCTCAGCATGAAAGACACAAATAAATGCATGTGGATATAGTTCCTAGTACAATGCAATCGTCTATGGAGAGAAAATATTCAGTATTTAGATTTGAATAAAATTAGAAATGGAGAAAGAAAATACATAAATGAGTTCAAACTCCTCCCAAAAAAGAAGAAATAAACCTGAACAAAGACAGAAACAATTGGGGTCAAAAACTAAAATGTAGCTTTTTGAGACTTAATTACAAATTTATCCTGATCAGCTACCATGGTTATCCAGATTATGCAGTGTTAAATATTATGCTACATTATACTATAGCATTACATTATACTATATATTAAGGTCATAAATAATCGATGGAGAACCACCTTGAACAGGGATAAGCCTTATTAAAACTGGAATGTTCACATTTTCAATATATTCTCTATATGAAAAAGTAAGATATTTTGATAGAATTACACAGTTTTATTTCCTAGGAATGTTAGAGAGAAAACAAGCTTCCTTTAATATAAAAAGCTTTGGAATTATAAAAGGATCTTAGACACAAGTTAAGTCAGTAACATACTCAGGAGTAGATATAGCAGCATCAACTAGTACAGAAAGGTAACTCCAAAAACAAAAGATTTCTTTTAAGTTTGATTAAAACAAAATCAAAAACACCAGGAAAAGGGATGTATAATCTGGTCAAAAGGCCCAGCTCTACCATTGCTTGACTATGAAAAAAGCTGAGCTTCCGTGTACAATGAACACACTGATACTACGTCTCTTCCTGAAAAGACAAAGTACTCAGGTATAAGGAAGTAAGAAATGTTTTAATCCAGAAGAAAAAGAAGAAATGTTTTAATCCAGTAATATATTTTTATATTTCATAATATAGAAAGAATCTACTGTTAAATACTCTGATAAACTATTATGTAAACTGAGGAATTATTACTTAGTCATTTGTATCCTCCTGAAATTTCATGTAACTCTTATTCTCATAAATATCTATCTATTATTTTGAACAACCACAGCTAACTTTGATGTAATGGAATGAACTCTGGATCCGAGTCAGAAGATGAAGGTTCTGTTTCCAGCTGGACCACCTATGACCTTGTGAGTTTGAACACTGAGCTTCAGTTTCTTGTCTCTCAAATGAGATCATCCCTGCCAAGCCAACTTCACGAGGTTATTTTGAGGAACCCCTCTACAACCCCAGAAATGTGATCGTGTTACCCTTCTAGTTAAAAACTTCATTGGCTCCCTGTACACTACCTTATAAGACAAAATTCAAAGCCCTTGACAAAAGCCTGTAAAACCTAATGCTACAAAATCTAGTTTCTCCCTGGCCATTCCCATATGGCCACTCCTCCCTAGGCATCAAATGCTGCATTCATATGGGACCCTTCTATATTCCCTGTGTATACTCTGCTCCTTTGTGCCTCTGACCTTTGTACATTCTGTTCCCATCATTTGGAATGTGCCAAATTCCTTCTCATCATTCAGTATCAGCTCACACACCAGTTGTTCTGGGAAATCTCTCTCCCTTATCTTATTAGTTTTAGACTAGTTCCTTAGTATTCCCAAAGTCCTTTATGAAACCTGCATTACAGTACTAATAATATTTTAATTGATAATCATCTAATGTGTCAGTTTCTCTCAATGGTGTATATACTACTTTTCTGGTCTTCAACATATCTTAGCTTGGCCTCCATCAATACCAAAAAGGGACTATCACATGATAGAGAAAAACGCTTGTTGAACCAATGGACTAGTAAATCAATAAAGCAAATGCTTTGGAAATATAAACTACACCACTA